TTCCCTACATGAGTGATATTTTTAGAACCGAAACTCATTTCCCACACCAAAACTCTATCACATATGTCGTATCTGGTTAAAGATAGAAGCTTGTTGAGGTCTTTTTTCTTGTACTTTCTCTAAACAATTATGTGTTTAACGGCTTTGCTGCGTGACCCCCTAAACAGTTCTGTGTTTAACGGCTTGTTGCAGAAATATTCACGTAAGACATTGTGGGTATATGGAGTACCAGATTGATGTCCGGAGGTCCCCCAAAATTAGAAGAAAAATGATATTGATTTTTTCAACATAACGGAATTGGACAGATCGGTGGTTTGCTAACAGACCAATGTTTGATGGGACGGAGTAATGCATTTTAAAAGTTGAGAAGCAATCATGTGATATAATTTTGGAAGAAAAATATGAAAAAATTGCAAAAGGAAAAAAAAAAAAGGGGTCAAAAAGCTAATAAAATTGGACGGAAGAGGGTTACTTGGCGCTAATGAAACAAAATTTAAAGGGATGAAGTGGCGTATTCTGAAAGTGAAAAGGTTATTTGCTAACAAAACAAAGTTTGAGGGGATGGAGTGGCATATTTTGAACGTTAATGTTCAAAATTCGAAGGTTAAATATAAAAAGTATAATCATAAACTATTTTTCTCCAAGAATGACGGATATTTCTCACCATTGCCAAAAGTAATCCTTGCATTAATCTTGCAATCTTTTAATTTTCAATTATTTTTGTTCTAGAAGGACCTAATTATTCTGCCCATCTGACGTGGAATGTTGAGCCAAAGTGTTAGATTCATCAGACCAAAAAAAAAAAGAAAATCAGACAAGAACATGTGCTGCCTATATGGCAGCACGAACGGGTCACTCCTAAGTCCTATCCCTTTAGAGACGCCAGTAATTAAAAAAATAATAAAAAATGAAAAAGCCACTTCGGGTAAACATCCGCGGTTCCGTGCCATTTCCTCTTCTTAAGTTTGGTCACTTTCGCTCCCTCATTAGCTGCCATTACATTCTTCTTTTCTAGTCCGTTCCAATCCTCTGACCCTTCTCATTTGTCAAGTTCTTCATTTTTATACACACACATATATACATGAAAAGTTCTTCATACTTGTCTATACTCTTCTTTGTTATCCGGAAAGGGTTTTCCCATTAATTTCTCTCTGGTCTAAACAAATAAACTTTCCTCAGAACAAAAGGACATATCATCAAGCCATGATTCATAGGGCCATTCGCTTCAGCAATCTGGTTCAATCGTTTAGAGTTGGATCTTCCTCTCCATCCAAGGTTATTGATGATATACATGTCTTTTGCAATTTTTAATATGTCACATTTTTATATGATCCTTTTTTTTTTTTTTTTTTTTTTTTTTTTTTTTTTTTTTTTTTCTTTTAAACTTACTTGGTGAGTGTGTTTTGTTTGTAAATGGAGATCACTTGTTGATAGTCTTTGTGGGGGGTTTTTGGTTAGTATGGGATTTTCCTTTGCGATGGTGTCTAAGCAGCCATTTGCCACGCAAAAGCATATAGGCAATTTAGCGGTGACTGGCTTTGTTTCGTAATACTTGGCAGTGATAAGAAGTTATTCAACTTTTTTTTTTTTTTTTAATAAGTGCAGTTATTTTCAACGGTAATAAAAGTTTGTTGCTGCTTTGAAGTTTAATTCTTGTTTCATAACTTCTGTTTTATATTGTGTTTGATAAGAGAAATAGAAGATAGTAAGGAAATAAAAAAACCAAAAAGAGAAGGAATTAGAAGAGAGTTTTTCTTTCCTTGCATTTCAAGTGAGAAAAATAGCCTAAGATTGCTCGGTTTAATAGCATCTAGGGGTTGGGTAGAATGGGGTTTTGGGGCTTCAGTTTCGTATTATATTAAAAAATAAAAGTAAGAAAAATAAGGAAAGAAATTGATTATACAAGCTGATTTAGATTTATCAATTATTATTTACAAACTGATTTAGCTAATATTGAATAAATCAAGTCACTTTCCTTAAAAAAAAAAAAAAAAAAGTGAAATGTTTTCTCACCTATAACTTCTTTCAAACATTCCCTCTGTTTTTGTTTTCTATTAAAATTAGAAGGATTAAAAAATTGTTGACCCCATAAATTCTCTACTTATTCCTCTCTAGCAAACAACAAAGTATTTTATTTCTACGCAAAAATCCATCCTCTAACTTCTTCCCTCTCCATTTTCCACTCTATCAAACATAGAATTCTGTAGTTGCCAAAGACTAACGGCCAAAGACTAACGCTTAATTTAGTAAAGGTAAAAAACAAAAGTGGAAGGAAAAAAAACAATAGATAAACTTTCAAACGAAAACCGGAATTGTAATATTGTTTGGTAGGCGAGAAAAAAATGAAAATGAAAAGTTAATGGACAAAACGCACTCATGTCATGAGTCCATACCATTTTTTTTTTTTTAATCTCAAAGTTGAGATATTTTCAGAGAGAGAGGGTTTGTTACGAATTGAGTTAAATTACTTTTTCAGTGTCATTTTTAAACTAAAAAATAATTGTTTATCATTGGCTAGCTAATCATTCAATTGATGAATTCTTTTTTTTTTTTTTTTTTTGGTTACTTCCTATCATGCTAAATCATATAAAAGGGGAAAAAAAAACTTCAGGCTCATTTAGTCACGTTTTTAAAATGATTTTATTTTCAATATAAAAATAAAAATGAGATTATTTTGAGAACCATTTTAGGACCGATTCTGAAATTACGTTTAGTTGAATTTTTAAGAGATTATTTTGAGTATAATAAAAAAATGAAATAGTATTTAGTTATAATTATTAATTAATATATTATAACATTGTTGATAAACATTAAGAAATGAAAACAGAAAAGAAAAAATAACTTCCAATCATTTTATGATTTCTTCACAAAAATTATTCTCACTGTTTTTTATTTTCATTTTTGTTTTTAAAACATTTGCTAAACAAATACGATTTATAGATCGTTTTTATTTTCGTGCTTTAAATGACGTGCAGAAACGTTTTTAAAAATAATAAAAAATTAATTCTAAACGACCATTCCTTTTTTTATTATTGTTTTTGTTGTTATTATTATTATTATTATTATTGTTGGGCAAGTGTTTTTGTTGAATTACCGGACTTTTCTTTTAAATTCTTGCCCTATATTTGCTCCACTAAACCATAATATTTTATTTCTTTATTACAATATTGTATTACAATAAAATTCCAAGATAACCATATTTAAAATACAAACTAATGAATATATTTAAAAAAAACAAACAAAATCCATTTACTTATCTTAACATATATATATATATATAAAAATATTTTTCAGAAAAAGATACCCCGCATTCTTTTTTCTAACTCTGATTTTATGTGTATAAACTCTAAGCCGTTGCTCCATCCTCCAAGTTCTAAACTCAATAGTTCCAGCTCTGGTTTCTGAGGAACATACCTCTTCTCTTCTTCTTCTTCTTCTTCTTCTTCTTTTTTTTTTTTTTTTTTTTTTTTTTTTTTTTTTTTTTTTGTGAGTGTGAATTCTAGAGATAAAACTGATACATATTTTGTAGGTGGGGTCTCATTATAACCTGGCAATATCTAGGACTACATCTTCTCTGCAACGAACGAGTGAACCACTTGGTTACAGGTAATTAGTCCTACCAAAAAAAGCAACCCATACTTTTACAACTTCATGAAATGTTTGAGCTTAGCTAGGTTTTTTTTTTTTTTTTTTTTTTTTTTTTAAATACTTGAGGTAGAGAGATAATTTGAACTTTGCACTCAAGGTAGAGTCAGGTGTGAATTTACCAATAAATTATACCAGCAATGACGGAGTTAGCTCATTAACATGTCATCTCATTCAAGTCCTATATCTGATTTTTCAAATTGTTGACATTATTTTTTTTATTTATTGTTTTCTCAAGGTTTATGTGTTCTTTTTTCTTGCATTTTTTTTTTTGGGGGGTAAAGATTCTCGCTTCCTTTTAGTTTGACATATTGTATAATCTCAGCGACGATGAAAACGTTGATATGGACTGGGACAATCTTAAATTCGGTCTTACGCCAACTGATTACATGTATACGATGAAATGTACTAACGAAGAAAAATTCCAGAAGGGTCAACTTAGTCGCTACGGCAACATTGAGTTAAGTCCTTCCGCAGGAGTGCTAAACTACGGACAGGTACTTATAACTAGCTAGCTATTGATCATGTCATTTGTTCAACAATGAAGCTTATAAATTCAACTTCAACAAAAAAATAAAATAAAATAAAAATAACGTGGAAAAATCTCGACAGGGATTGTTTGAAGGGACAAAAGCGTACAGGAAAGAAGATGGACGCTTGCTTCTCTTCCGTCCAGACCAAAATGCAATTCGCATGAAGATTGGTGCCGATAGGATGTGCATGCCCTCGCCTTCCGTCGATCAATTCATCGACGCCGTTAAGCAAACGGTCCTCGCCAACAAGCGTTGGGTAATCCTTCTCTTCATAAGAAAACATTGCTGACCATATTATGAAAATGATATATGTATCTATTGTTTAATTCGCTAATGTAAGTTTTTAATTCGAGTTGAGATGTGATTTTATATGAAAACTTTTTATTATAACAAAAAAGTTGTTGCTGACCATATTATGAAAATGATATATGTATCTATTGTTTAATTCGCTGATGTAAGTTTTTAATTCGAGTTGAGATGTGATTTTATATGAAAGCTTTTTATTATAACAAAAAAGTTAGATATAACTGTTTATAAGAGTTTTTTACTGTAACAAAATTTAAATTCTAAACTCAAATCGGTAAAATGAACGAGGTCTAAAAAAACACATTTTGTGCCCAAATAACTTGAAGGTTCCGCCTGCTGGGAAAGGCTCTCTTTATGTCAGGCCTTTACTCATTGGAAGTGGTCCTATCTTGGGTCTGGCCCCGGCACTGGAATATACTTTCCTAGTTTATGCTTCTCCTGTTGGCAACTATTACAAGGTGAGATTCTTTTTTTTTTTAAATTTCTTTTGGTGTCTAACGAAATAGATATTATTTCAGCTACTACTAAAAGATGTTGCAATTTAAAATTTGTATGCTTGTTGATGAGTAAACAGGAAGGTTTGGCTCCTTTGAGATTGTACGTTGAGGATGAGTTTAATCGAGCATCTCCAGGTGGAACTGGAGGTGTCAAAACCATTTCAAATTATGCCCCGGTAAGTGAACAATCTCATCAATGCCCTTTTAGGTTTGCAATTTTCTTTGTTCTTTTACAATGCTAGTCTAGACTCTTGACAACATTTTTTACAAGTTAAATATGCCATTATGTGTCGAGCGTTAAAAAACTTCTTTCGGCTTGCCTTTTATGTGCCAGGTTTTGAAAGCGCTAAACAGAGCAAAGAACAGAGGATTTTCTGATGTCTTGTACCTTGACTCGGTGAACAAGAGATACATAGAGGAAGCTTCTTCTTGTAATGTTTTCATTGTGAAGGTATATTTGGAATTTCGTTTCATAGCAATCTTGTCTCGCCGCCTAGTAATTGATCGTCGTGCAAAATTAATTCTTTTTTTTTTATTGTTTAATTTTCTAAGGGAAATCTGATCTCAACGCCTGCTACAAACGGGACCATACTTGACGGAGTTACAAGAAGAAGCATCATTGAAATTGCTCGTGACAATGGTTACGAGGTTATTGATTATCTCTCATCATCCTAGTTGACTGTTTTCTCGATAATCTCGTTACATTTTGATGCCATGTTTATTCCAGGTTGAGGAACGTGGTATTTCAGTGGAGGAATTGATAGATGCCGATGAAGTATTCTGTACCGGAACAGCCGTGGTTGTTGCTCCTGTTGGTTCTGTTGCATATCAGGACAAAAGGTATTATTTGAGGACTAATTCACCAAGATCAAAGTTCCGAGGACTAATTGTTGTTGAGTTAAAATGAAAGTAACATCTTTCTTTTTTCTTTTTCTTTTTATGTGATTAAAATGCAGAGTTAATTTCAGAACCGGTTCTGAGGCGGTGTCTCAAAAAATGTACAAGACACTCGTGGGGATTCAAACGGGTGTCGTTAAGGATAATAAGGACTGGATCGTTGAGATTGATTGAGATTTTTGTCATTGCCGTGTATCATATTCTACTCTATACTTGAAAACTCTGTTATAATATTTATTGAGCTCTCACTTTTTTGTCATTTTGTTGTACTTTTTGCTAGTGAATATTATCTATATCCATATCTATGTTTATGTCTATTTCAATTTCCTATACAAATGTGTGAATTGATTATTCTGTAGAAGACCAACTTGGCCGAAAAGTGCACTTTTTTTTTTTCCCCCAATTACAAGATCTATGATAGTTCTTCTGCGCCGTCAAGGATAAATCCGACTCTGACTTCGGCGGACGTCCTCTGCCGCGTGACGTATATGGTCAGCAGTTTTCGAGTATTGTGGAAAAGCGACTCCTTAAAATGGCAGAGAATTACAAACGACAATGAAGGAAAAACGACAACAACTTGATGAACCTCAAACAAAAAAAAAAAAAAAAAAAAAATTGGAAAAACTGCAATAAAGAACGAACACATAATCGAAAACGAGGACAAAGTTAGAAATCATAATGGAATAATAAGAGGGTTTTAATCTGAGAAACAACAAAAGGGTAAAGACAACCAAAATAAAAGCAACAGAAACGATGGACGAAAACGACAATAAGAGAAAAAATGACAACAGCATAAGGCCATAAACAAACGATAGATTTTTATTTATTTATTTATGGAAACGATATAGAAAATTTAAAGCAAAGAAGAAAAAGGATAAAAATACATTTAAGACAATAAATACAAATGATAACCAAATGGAAAGGCGAGATGGTTTAAGTTGATAATGATCAGAAAATAATTAAACGACATTTATCATATTAAGGAAAAGTTTAGAACAAATGAGGAAAAAGCTATAAAATTTACTTGAAAACAACATTAGATTCAATTAATTTATTATTTTTAAAATATTTAATTTATTATTCTTTAAGGATATTGAAGTCTTTTTGTCAAAATATAACATGGACCGAGAAAATCTGAGGATTGAGCATAAATTTAACTTATAAAGATAAATGCGTAACAATTTAAAATATGGAAATGAGTTTGTGAAAATCTCAAAATATAGAGTACAAGAAAGAAAAAAAAAAAAAAACCTTGCCCCGTAATCTAAAGTCCAAACAAAATAAAGGGTAAACTTGCAAATACATTTTGCTTTGGACCTTATTCAGCAAAATCAAAGCATATATCAGAGAACGTCTTTTCAACATTGCCATGAAGATCCACAAAATCTTTTATTACATCTCTTACCGCCGTTAGTACGTTTCAGGTACTCACCACAAGCTTTTCCTCTTTTTTCTCTCCTCCATGGATGTAAAAGAAACAAAAACTTATTTCAGAATCCGAAGAACCACGGAACTGATGGTTTCGTTCACTTTATTAATTTAATTTTAAATTTTAAATTTTATTATAATAACAGCATCAAAACTGATGTGCAAATAGTGGTTTTTGCGGTCTTTGGCTGTGCACATCTCGAAATTCTGGTATGGAAATCTGCGCTCTTAAACATTAGATGGCATATTGTTTGACTCTCATCTATTTAATTTATTTACTCTGATCCCTATTTAATAGTTCATTGCCTCTCTTTTCTCTATTCTATTTTACTGTCTCATATTTAGGTTTTTACAATAAATTTTTTTTAGAAAATATCACATTTAATTTTTTCTGTTACAGTAAAAAATTTTAAAAAAATATTACATCTTAACTTGAATTAAAAATTTAAATCCGCGAAGTGAACGAGACCTAAAACTCTCATTTTATCGATTTAAATTTAAAATTTAAAATTTATTATAATAAAAAATTTTTAAAAATAAATACATTTAATTTTTTTACTGTAATCAAATTTTTTACATAAATTTATATTTAATTTAAATTAAAAATTTAAATCAGTAAATTAAACAGTCTAAAAATGTTCATTTTCTCATGGAGCTCATACAGGTTGGTTTTTATTTTTTATTATTTTTTTTCTCGTTTTTCTAATTAATGGGTTTGAGAAAGTTTTTGAGTATTTATAATATTATGGGTTACGAAAAGAGTGTAGAACCAACTCTGGAATTTGTTCTGACGAAATAAGACATAACAGGGACTGGTGCACCAGCTACTCTGTTGATATTCAACAATGAAGTTGGGTTTTCCAGGAAGAACATGGACTCTCTTTGCAGTGTTGGCTGTTCCACTAAGAAGGGGAAACGGCAGCAAGGCTTTATTGGAGAAAAAGGTAAGCTTTAATTTCTCATTTTGTGAAGAGAAATTTCTTCTCCTTAACTTCTGGCTTCTTTGTGTCTTCAGGACTAGTCTTGCTTCTTATAAAGGTTCAGTTTTTATGCTTGCATGTGCTATATTATGGTCATTTTTGTTCTTTATTTCATGTGTTTTCTTAATCTGACTGATTTTTTGGACTCAGGTTGGTTACATTTTGTTTTTGATGTACTAAAGCAAAAAGAAAAAAAAAATTAAAACTTTGCTGCGGAAAGTAATCTTTTTTTTTTATGCTGACGAATAAAAGTCCCAACCTTTTATGCCCTTCTGAAATGGACTTAATTAACTTCCTTAGTGTCCTTTTTATCTCTGCATGCGTATTTTGATATCAGTATATGGTTGTTCGTTTTATTTGCCTTCTTAAGCTATTTGGGCTTTTAGGCTCTGGTTATCTTTTGCATGAACTATGTGTTCTGGTTAAGGTTCATTATATACTCTGTAAAAATGAAAACTTTGGCTTTTTTTCCCCCCTTAATATACTTACTAATTAGTTATCCTTATATTTAAATGGTTAGCATAATATACAATTTTTTTTTTAAGTTCAGCACATAAAAATCTACTAAAAAGGTATGTAATTTATTCCGATTTTAAGTGTAAATAAACGCACGAATGAGATTGAGAATGATTCGGACTTTGATTCTTGAAACCTAAATAAACAGTTTATTCTGATTCCAATTCCTATCCACTCCGAATCATCCGAATCATGTCCACTCCGATTACGGATAAGTAAACATGCCATAAGTCTGATTTCTAATGCCCCAAATGCAGGAATTGGATTTAAAAGCGTGTTTCTTGTGAGTCCACAACCTCACTTATTTAGCAATGGATATAGAGTTAAATTCAAGGAAGAACCAGACCCAGACTGCGGCATTGGGTTCGTCGTGCCTGAATGGGTGAGAGGAAAACCTGGTCTTTTGGAGATAAGTCAGGTCTATGGCTCCGGAAAAGGCTTTGCCTGAAACTATATTTGTACTTCCCTTGAAGCCTGAGAAAGTGGAAGCTGTGAAACAACAATTGTCTGAGCTTCATCAAGAGATTTTGCTCTTTTTGTCAAAGGTTAAGCGGTTATATGTTCGTGATCCTAAAGAAGGTGATAACGTCTCGATTGTTTCCATATGGAGCGAGACTAATCATGTCAAGTTGAGTAGTAAAGGAGCAGATTCTCGTGTCCTTCAGCTTTCTCATGTTGAAGAGAATACTTTAGATGCTGAGGAGACTTGCAAGTACTTCATGTGGAGACAGGCGTTTCCCGTGAAGCCTGAGGATAGAGTCAGTTCAAGAACTGATGTGGATCAGTGGATAATTACTCTTGCTTTCCCATTTGGGAAGCGGCTCAAAAGAGGGACGTCTTCTGTGGGTGTCTTTGCTTTTCTTCCCACGGCAATGGTGACAAATTTCCCATTTGTAATTCAAGCTGACTTTAAACTTGCTTCTTCTCGAGAATCCGTACTCTTGGACAGTCAATGGAACTCGGGGATTCTCCAATTTGTCCCAACAGCTTTTGTGAATGCTTTTCAGGCTTGTGTGACAGACAGGACGTTGTTTCCTTCAGTTGGCCAAGTGTTCAAGTTTATGCCAACTAAAGAATCATCATCCTCTGGAGCTCAACAACTTAAGAGAAAGCATTAGAAAGAAGTTGCTGAAACTAACAATAATGCCTTGCGAATTATTTGATGATAAATGTTACTTCGCTATGCCTCATGAAGTTGTTAGAATCTTGTCGAAATTTTGTGACATCTTGGCTCTAATCAGGAATAAGGGAGGTCAGTTGCATTTATCGTTGGACCACGAAAAGTGTCGTGCAATATTGGACTTTCTCGGAGTGGATTCTGTAAAGAAAAGTTTTGATTGGAATGTGGAATGCATAAAGTTCTGCAATCTTCTTTCTCAAGACTCGGTAGACATTTACGTAGAGCTTCTTTGTTTTGTTGCTGAGAATGAGAAAACTTTTCCTGCGAAGTATTATCGGGACATTCCGCTTCTAAAATACAGCAACCAGGAAGAGAATGTGCAATTGTGTTCCATTTCCCAAATCATAAAGGGAGAACTTGCCCTTAAATATGCTTTAGATCCGGAGCTTCACTTGTGGTTGAGTAAGTGCAATATGGAGTTTGGCTGTCTTGATAGGATATTTTTCTTGCCCAGTTACGTTCAAAAATCTCTTACTCAGCATAAGAATGGTTCAACCATTCTCTCTTGGCTTTCATATTCTGCTGGAGTTTCATCGACTTCGGCATGTGATTTGGATATTAAATTTAATTTAAAAGTATATATTTGATGAGATTAAAAATTAAAGATATAGTTTTTAAAAAAATTTAAAATACAAGGTATAAAAAGGTAAATATGAGAAAATGACCGACACTTTAGAACAACAATGGAGTTATAAACGACAACAAAATTATAAAACAACGTTAATTCAGAAACGACAAGAACATTCAAACCATCAGCATCAATAAATAAACAAAAATAAAAGAATGGAAACGACAAAAACCTGTGAAACGATCAGGTCAAATGAAACAACGATAAAAGAAACGACATAAAATGTGAGAAACAACAAGCAATTTAAAAACCGTACACATATATTTCTGAAAGAAAATATAGTTCTTTGGGAGTAAATTTTACTCTTTCTTCATAGACATGTATTTCTTATAATCCAATGAAGAAAAATATTCTGTATTCTTTTATATCAAATATATATCTTCGAATTCAATTTTCTCAAAATTAATTTCAACAATTTTCTTCCCTTTTTGTTATTCTCAAAACATCAGCCATGTTTAAAGTTGATTTTGTTTTTATTCATTTTTAAAAAAAAAAAAAAAAAAAACAGGAGAGAAACGGCTTTGACA